CAGAGGGGGAGGGGCAGGGGAGGGGCGACCCGTTTGTCTTGATGCAGGTCTTGAGCGTCATGCAGGGCGTGAGCAGCATACTTTAGGGTGCAGCATTCATTCAATCGAGGTTCGCAGGCACTTCCCCTCGAGCCGTGCGCGATTATCATCTTGAGCATCGCAGCAGGCAGCAGCGCCTGAACAGCATTCACACAGTCGAATAACCTCATCATATACTGTACGTCTCCCATATCATCAACGCGGCCGGCATGACGATTGCTGATGACCGCCGCGCGTGCTGCGAAGGCGTGATTTCACGGCCGTTTCAACAATCCCTTCTTGCTTTCTTCTTGACGGCACCAAGCCTTTACTTATCTCCGCATCTTGCCCGTGTCTTCACGTCGCTTTGACCTGGTCTCACATCAGCAGAGCGTCACTTCGAAAGTCACCAACCATCGTGAGTGTGTGAGCACTGTCATTCGAACAGGCTTGTCGCTCAGCTAAGCGCGCGGCGCCGCAACTTTGTACTCAAACAGAAATAAATGCACCCCATCGAGACCAATGCAGCGGTGCATGCCTAAGTTCACGCAAGGTAACGCACCTTTGACAGCAACGTGCTCGACTCTGACTTGGCATACCGAAGCGAAGCGAAGCGAAGGCGCCACCCTGGCAGCTTGGCACCGCCACGCTCTTCTCAGCTGTGGATCTTTGCGAAAGGGCAGCGTACAGTTAGAACCAGCTAGCATACCGCGGAGTGCAGTTAGTCCTTCTGCAAGACGTGCTTGCATGCTACGAAACAGGGTAGGTACGTGGCGAGCAGTGCATGATCATCTGCTGCCACTCCATGCGTCTCCATGCACTTAGCTGCGTAACCGGCATCGGCAGTGGACACCCCCGCTTGAGGGTCGCCTCCGTTGTCACCCACAGCAAGAACGTGCCGTAGGGTCCTCCCCCATTTGCGCACGCCATGACGCACACTCCCTGACTCGCATCGGCCTTCCCGTACCGCTTGCCCCACTCAAACGCATCTCACTGAGTGACTCCTCAGCGATGCCCCGCATACAACGATGCGAGCCGAGGAGAAGGCCGTACGCATGGACAGCAAGCAGTCTTTTCAGGCGCGCTAGGCTAACATAACGTCAAAAGCGCTTCGATGATGAACAAACAACTCCTCTCCTCAAGGAGTCGCGAGATGAGCACTAGCTCCACATGTCGTGCGCCTCGAGCTGCGCAATGGCATGGCTCATCGGCTCGAACGTTGAATGACGATAATCTTGGCGCGCGGACAGCGATAAGCAGTCAGCACGGCCCCCCCTATCGTAGCATTGATGAACTCCGGCATTATGCTCAACGGCCCGAGCTGCCTGGCATGCGCGAGACGTAGCCTCGAGTGCTGCGCTAGGGGAGGACGTACCTTGGACTACGTGCGATGCAGCGGGACGAGTCTGGCATATCTGCGAAGGTCGCTGAAGGTCACACCAGCGACGTCGAAAGAGTCACGCAATACACCAATCGTGACTGATCTCTACACTCCTACTACTGAGAGGGTAATCGTCATGGGATCGAGATTGATTCGTGATTTCCTTTCCACACGCCCGGCTGGCTGTACAGGCTCACGCCTTGAGGTCAGCCCAAGCCAACGTTCACGAGGATCCAAGAGCACGTCTTCTTCGCGAAAGGCAACGAGCTCCCGTGCCGAACCGCTGCGAGGCTCTTGAGCAGATTCGTTGTGATCTGCGCTCGCTAGGAGTCGGGCCTAGACGCCGAGAGGAACGTTTCCATGTTGAGGCAGCGACCCGTGCGCTTGGAGGCGCAGGGCGGCAGTGATACTTTTCCACTCGAAACACCAATGAAGGGACGGCTTATCTCCCACCCAGCAGACTGAGCCGCGACTTTTTCTGAACGAAGTACGCGTGGTACGATGAATGAAACGGCCCGACGGGTAGCATTTCGCTCCGGCTTGATCATGCGAGTGTGTCGACGGGAATGAGATTCACAAAGCGACCCGTGCTCGGGTCGCAACAGCACGTACACTAGCGGCGTCCTTCTCGCCTTCAAGCCGCTCACAAACCTCGCAAGCGATGCGGTGCCATGCGAATACGTGTTGGTTTGAATTGTGAATCTGAGCGCTACCCACCCTTGAAGGAGCTTGCGTTGAAGCGCTTGATGATGAAGATGCCATGCGATCGAACCCCACATTGATTGACGAATCGTGAATGCAGCTTCTGTCGTGGTGCAGCAGCAGGCTCGACTCGTGATCGCTCATCGCTCATCGCCCGCGCACGCCTTTCGCAGCGGTACGTAGAGCGCCCCGTGCGACGATGCAGCCACAACCCTCCCGTTCACTTCCGGCTTCTCGTCCCGCCGACAAAGCAAAGCCGCTCAGCCAGAAAGGTTGACAGCACTTACTTGCCTTTGTCGAGCCTTGGCACGCCTTCCAGCGGCCTGATCGTTTTGGCGCGCCACTCGGACGGTGGTCTGAGCTTGGCACGATGAGCAAGCAAGAGGCAGAGGGACATGGCGGCCCGCATGCTTCACATGGTAGGAACGTTTGCTCGTCTTTTCTGCTTCATGCTGCTGCTGCTGCAAGTGGGCTGCGCTCAGAGCAGCGCGTGGAGGCAGTGAGAGCGCAGCAGACCTTCGCGCGTGGTTCTCTCTAGTGCCCATGCAATGACGCACTTCGGTACACGATCCTCCGCGCTAGCATCAAGTGTATGGTGGAAGAGCGTGTGAGTCTTGCCCGCGCCTTGCACAAATCAATTGAATCTTCGACCATCAGCGAATTGACTCGATCTGATCATGCCGAAGCATATGGCGACACTCCACGACGAATCGTGATATCATTCATGCTTGCTGCACCCCTCGTACTCGGCGCCTTTCCTCGACCTGTTCTGAACTTGAACATGGCATTCTGATTACTTTTCGTTCTTCTACACGCTTGAACAGCCGCTGTCCGACCATGCGTGTTTCTCTCTTCTCTTCCAATTCGCGAACAGCAATCCTGAATTCAATCACAAATGACTTGCATCGCGCTATCGCCCATGCAAGGCGCTCCTGACTGCGCACCACCGGTTCTGCGTCAACGTAGCGCCGCATTCACGTTTGACCACAGGCGGATGGCACCAGCTACGAACGAACCTTTTCCAGTTGACCAGAACAGCGCGCAGAACAAAGGGTCGGTGTCCTCGCACTGACCTTGCGATTCTGGTCTACATACTGTACTCACGACTCCCCTATCCTGCTGCCAGCAGAATATCGCTTTTGAGCACGCAGCATGCCTTCTGGAACTTTCAAAGTAATTTCGGAGCCTTTCGAGATCGGAGCCTTAATTGATAAGCGGCAAGCGCGGCCGACTAAAGCCGAGGGGCGCCGTGGTGCAGCGATGCGCCTTGTCCCTATCGGCCAAATGATCTTCTCTGATCATCTCGATGGCGAGCGCCCCTCAATCTCAGCGACAAGGCTAGATTGGGGAGACATCGATGTGGATAGTTGCGTGGTCTGATTAGTGACGATCACTGAACGGTAGCAGTGACGGCAAGATGCACAGGCTTGGCACTCTGTCACCTCACAAATGACTGGCGGCGTGCAGATTGACGCTTGAATCATGGGTAATCATTCGGGATTTCAAGAGATGCCATTGTGATGGACCAAGGGCAACACAGGCACACAAAGGCTAGACGCTCTCCAGTCGGGCGCCGAAGCAAGCTCCACAGCTCTATACGACCCGTTGATGCGGCCTATACGTGCCGATGCACGTCATATCCGATGGGACTTGATTATGACTCGACGTTTACCCTCGCGGTCTCAACGAGACCTCTACAAGGTGCCTTTACCACGAGAGTACGCACCTCCACTACGAACAAGAAGCATAGATGTGTGTGGTAATCGCCTCGCGAACTTCTCGTCGAGGGGAATTACCAGGAGGGGACCCATCAATTCAAAGAGGTGCTGTCATGCAGTACTCTTGACCCTGCTCGAAGCGGCATCGGGCTAATTGCTTCACTTTTTTCGGAACAACAGCAGGTCTGTGTGCAGAACATGTCAAGTCAGCAGGCAGTTTGAAATGAAAGCATGAGCGCAACTGACCCGTCTTGTATGGCTGAGCAACATGGAGAGCGCAAGGGACGAATCTCAAAGTTTAGCACGTGGACACGATTGGGTGTGCTTTTCCTATGTCGATAGACCAGATGCTCACGTAGGCAAAGATGCCTTTCTCCTTGTCGAGCCATTTACGGTCCGGAGACGATTCCACCACTTTCCGGCAGCTATCAATGAGCTTCGTCTTTTCCGGTTCCTCGAGCACCGAAATGTAGCTGCCGTGACCCATTAGGTCGTACATCAGCGAGGGTTTACGCCGCAGATGCTCAAGATAGAGCACACTCACGACTTGCTCAGGAGTCGGTCAGTGACACCTTCGATGGTCGTTGGCAGCTCGCGACAGAAAGCTAATGGCTCGAGATGATCGAAATCTTTCAGCGCTGGAGCGGCATATGTTGGCTCACGCCAGAGCATTCGGCGGTCTACGGAGGGCTCATGACTCTGTCAGCCTGTTGCTATTAGGGCAACGCATTTGGAATCCTGCGAACTACTTACACTGGGGTGTATCATTCTCATACTGCTCGTAGTGATCTCTGAGGCCAGCGACCCAGGAAGCTAAGTGAAGCAGACGTCATCATCACCTTAGACCTCCCAGCCAAAGCGCACACCCGACCCCTTTGACTCACCAGCATCTCGGTCCTCGAGATTCCACATCAGAGCAAACACTGTAGGAGGAATCACCGTTGAGCGTTCTCTCGAGGCCCTTTGTACGCGCTACAGAGACATCAATCCACATACCTCCGCCTGGCCTTAGAGTGGAAGAAATTTCGGCGATTGCTTTCGAAAAATCGCGCGTCCAGTGCCAGGCCTTCGACAAGGGCACAAGCATTCGGTCAACAGCCACCAAAGATCACTTTCAACACGCGGCAACATCATCTCTGTACTCACTTGCGCCACGAGCACAATATCATTGTCATGACCAGCATTGATGTTCTCGAAAGCACCGTCAACAGTCTTGAGCTCGACGTCGTGTAAGGTTTGCCGGACTGGAGCAATGGCCTTTTCCCAGCCCTGTCTCATGCCGATGCTAGGTTCTACAGCCACCAATTTCGCAATCCTATCGTTTGATTGAGCGAGCAGAGCACGAGTAGCGATGCCTGTGCCCGAGCCAAGCTCTACGATGCTCAGCTTGCTCTTCTTGCCATTCGTTCTGGCAGTAGGTGCCGTCAAGATGGCCTCGATGGCCTCTGTGGGGTAGGACGGACGAGCTCGATCGTACAGCCCTGATGCACCGGAGAGATCGAAGCCGGATCTTGCAAGTGGATGCATGGGCGTCAAACGCGACGTCACAGCTTCGACGGCGCTGCTCGTTGCAGACGAAATCTTGTCTACGACCGAGGACATTTCTCTATGCTCTATGCTGGGAGACAGTGCAACGACTTTATTGCCAGGTTGAGGAAAGCTTGGTCCTGCGCAACTGGAGACGGATGAGACAATCCTGGAAGAGTACCAGAGACTCGGGCGTAGGGCTGTCATGACTCTTGCGCGATGCCCAAATGAAACTTGTGTGTGGTAGCTTTATATCAAAATAACTCCTCCTCCTCTTGTCGAGTCAGAGAAGCGACCAAGGTGGACGTTGGAGTCATCGGCACACATCAAGAGCACGCAACACCATGCGTGCATGCACTGCTGGCCGCCCGCGGACATCAGCCATGCTACATTCATCAAGACGCCGAGTTTGGCGCATGGCTGCAGCAAGGCACGACGCGACACGCTTATCTGCCGGCGTGCCGAGTTCGGCCCTTTCGGATCTACAATCATGAACCGCGTCCATAGCAGCAGAGCAGCAGCATGCGTGCGGCGACGCGTGTTGCCGCTGTGTTGGGCGCGTCGAAAGTAACACGTACCTGATGAGACCAGCTTTGACGACCGGCCAAGCCTCATCATGCGTTACCAGTTCAGAAGCGAAAACAAAGGTCGTTCAGTCGTGAGTGCAGCGATTGCGTTCCTGCGGGGACTGATTGCATAGAGTCATAGTGCAGGTGCAATGTTCGACACGCAGAAGACAAGAAGACGATTCACAGGCGTGCAGGGTACAAATTACAAGGGAGTGTCCAGGGCGATACGAGGGGCAAAAGCAGCTTTGAAAATATACGTAGCATCAGGCATTCGGAGAGTGACGAGCGCTGTCGGAGATATTCATCAATGTACCAGTAGGACCACAGCTGCGCGCCATCTTCGCGTCCGCAAGCAACGTGCTCGACTTTCGACGTTGCGCTGCTCCGACAGACAAGTGCGAAGGGCGAGAGATGGAAACGGATTCCACCCGGCGTCGCGCTAGCATGGTCGGCGTGTCATCGCTGCCGCCGCCCGGTGTCACGCTCCTTCTCGAGCTCGAAGAAGGAGTTCTAACGCGCTCATAGGATCCCGACGGTAGGCGACGGCCTTCAGCAGGTGTCAGGACGATGCTGGCGACCTCTTGTGGGGACACATTCGCTGCACTTGCTGAATCGTGGAGCTCTGCGATGGTGGACCTCTTTAAATTGGTAGGTGTCGCCGTCAGCACATCACCTCCCTTGATCCAGGGCAAGTCGCTGGCAGAAGGCGAGATTGCAGATGTCGCGCCCTCAGCCATCAAGTCGGTGTAGTGGTGCTCGATATATCTGGGACGGATTGTAAGAAGCAAGCTATGTCAATGACTGCAGACGTATCCGCTACCATTTGAGGACGCTCACCTCCCGAGTTCTTGCCAGCCACCTCCAATCCGAACCATGACGATACGGCTTCGCAGAAAGCGGCAGAAGCAGAGTCTTGGATTGCGTGATCCTACCCAGTATCTCCCACTATCATCTTTCCAAGTGTCCCGTGGTGCAGCGTCCGGCGCGGTAGCAGCGTGCGCAATCTGAATCGGCTGAGGCAGCTGATTCACGATTCGAGACACGGCAACGTCAAGCTTGTTGTTGACGTTGGGTCGATACCGATTAGGGTGTCTCGAACCTCTGCGCGACACTTTGACCGAAGAAATGGAAGTTGCACGGCTTGGCGTGCGCACTGGCAACTTGCTGCCCACCGGTGTCGACAAGGCGCTCGGCAATCTGAGATGTCCCAGAGCACTTGGGTTTTCTTGGCCCGCTGTCGTCTGCTCTGCCGCCGCGGGATTTACCTCGGACGGCAGCCGTTTCCGGGGTGATCTAGGAATGCCGCTCCTTCGAGCCGCGTTCGACGTTCGACTAATTGGTCTGACTAGAGGGCTACCTTCCGAGACCGTGCGTCGCGAAGCCGAAATCATATCGGTGGCAGCTACAGCTGGCATGGTTCGGATAGACTGCGAAGGGAACTGCGCTTTGCGCTTTACAGGAGCAGGGGACGCCTCACTTAATGGCGGTCTGTAGCCCATGCCATCGTGTGGAGAGTCCCTGCCATCGGACGTAGCCTCATATTCCGCCGACGAGACTTCTGTGGATGACGCCGAACTCAGCGAGAACGCTGGCGAGGCAACTACGCTTTCGCGCTGGCGTTGAAGGCGACGCAGCTCGGGATCGCCTAGTACTTCGTCGGCCATCGCCCGAGTCTCTCGGTGTAGGGCGTTGACATTCGCCAACGTGTTCTTGACCCGCACATCATCAAGAACGTGATCTGCAGCGATACTTGTCTCAGCAAGTAGAGTCTGTACTCCCTCTAGCCGTTCGTTCACGACGACTGTGCCGGCGGACTTGCTCTGGGCCAGATTGGGCTCGCCTTGCCGTGATTGCGATCTGTGGTCGTCTTCTGCATCGGCATCAAGGCTGTCCAAAAGCTCTACCAGCTCTCCGAGCTGATTCTCCAGTCGTGATGCGAGGTCGCCGAAACGCGAGAGGCGGAAGTGTCGTCTCAGCCGGCCTTGCCGTTTCGCAAGAGCGTGCGCGAGCTCGATGCCCTGAGGACTTGAGGGCGACACGCTCGATGAGGCTGCGCAAACCTCCTCTTCGTGGCGGCGCATCTGCGCTTGGGCTTGCTCATCATCAGATGTGGATGGCAGCCGCAGTAACTGCCGCTTCTGAAGAGAGCCGTCCGGGAGAGTTTGAACAAACACCCTGTCTTCTGCCTCAAGGCGCCTGACCAGGTCTTGAACAGTATCAAGCTCTCTGCCTCGAGGTGCTGTTGGAGCGTCAGAGGATTTGGTCGAGAGGACACTCTTCGGTCCGAATACATCGATGCTGACATCGCCGACATCAACCTCAGCGCTTGTGCCGTCAGACACAGATTCGGTGAGAGCGAGCTCAACCTGTGGCGTTCCAGAAGCGCCCTGCTGCTTCGTGTGCGCGTTGTCTTCGAACCGACTCGAAGACGAGCTTTCGAGATCATCCGAGCTTGGGTCTGAAGAGACTGGGAATTCGAGACCATCGGTTGCCCGGGGCGCTTCCTCTGTGGCATACCTGCTGCAAGTCTCGATGGTTTGGTTGATTGCTGCCACGAGACTGGCAAATTGAGCTTCGAGCTGCGCTACTCGCGAGCGAGTGTCAGCAGTCAGCTGCTCATGCTGCATGAGAGTGCTCTCAGCGCAGCCTAGGCGGACAGCTTCGTCACAAGCGTCCGTCAGTGAGGCAATGGCAACGTGCAGTCTGCTCGTAGATGCTTGCGTCCAAGAAGCTACCGTCCCTTGCAGCTGATGTAGCCGATGAACTTGACGCGGAGGCTGTTCCGCTGCAGTCGCCTTCAGTTCGTCCTCATGTTTCGCTAGCTCAGCTTTCACTTGCTTCACCAGTCCATCGAAGGCGGTCGATGCATTGGCAACGGCATCTAGGGCATCTTTACGTTTTTGCTGCGACGAGTGCTCTTCGTCCAGACGGACTTGGAGTTGTCGTGCAAGATCCTCGACCCTCTCCTTCAGAGTCTCGAGCTCTGTGCTCCATTCATTGACGTGTTCTCGAACCTCCTCGTCAACAGAACGGAAGGAGGGGTCAGAGCAGACGACTGGCTCAAAGAGAACTGTCGGCGCATCTCCAGTCATCAGCACGGACAATGCCTGCTGGGAAAACGTAGCGACCGAGCTTCCCAGCGTTGCAACGCTCTGGCCTGCGTGCTGCGAAATCAGCTCGGCTACCTGATGTCCTTGAGCTGTGACTTCTTCGAAAGTCGAGCGCAAGTCAACAACGGCGGCGAGCTGATCCAGACTGACTTCGAGCCATCGCAAAGCAGCTTCTGCCTGTGAAACGCGCCGATCTGCCTCGAAGCTCGAACCAATCAGATGTCGCTGGATTAAAGAGGCTTCATTAGCCTTCGCGAGGCCAGCAGCCAGTTGCAGAGCGCGCTCCGACGCAGCGCGGGCTTGGCGGACCTCGGTCATGCGCTCGCGGGCCACCTGAAGAGAAGCGTGCAAATCCCTGAGGGTATCGGTGGATTTGACGGATCGCCACGGGTACGCCTCAGCCACCTTGATGCAATCCTCGTTGACCCTTTGAACTAGTGCTGCAGCATCTGTTTGTACCGTATTGATGAGCTGATCCGCCGTGCGAAGCTGCTTGAGCATCACGACGACCTCAGATCCGTCTTCAATAGCGACATCGGTGTCTCTCTTGACTTGCTCAAAGTTTGCCAGACTTTTGTCGAGCTGTCTGCGAAATGCAGAGGGGATAAGCCCTGCTTTGACCGCTTCAAGGGTGGCAGCGTCGATCTCCTTGCGCAAGTCGGCGCCGTTGACGACCAAGCCGCCTAAGGTGGGTCTCAGGCCAGGCAGCCGGCTGAGATACACGTCGTGTGCAGGGGCTTTGAGAGCCTCAAGTAATGTCAAATCTGGCTTTGAGCCCAAATTTGCGAGCCACCGTTGCGCCCCTGTGTCAGCGCCTGTCGAAGCGGACTCGACTTCAAAGCCAGAAGTTGCCTGCTCTGCTACGGCGCGACATTGGTTGGTCAAAGAGTCGAGCGACGCAACGAGCTGTTGGATGAGTTGGAGAGCGCGTAGAGCGCGAAGGTGTCGCTCAAGCGCTGATTTGGCCTCTCGAACAGCGGTAACTGTCTTGTGCATTTCAAGTGAAAGCGCTTCTTCAAGAGCACGGGTGTGCTCAGCTTGGTCAGCATAGATCTGTTCCTGGGGCTGCACAGGTCTCAGATGCCTTCGGAGAGATGGTGATGCGCCTAATGGCGTCGCAAGATTGACCGAGCTAGCTTGTTCGGGGCCTATCAACGTTTCGAGACGTTGGCAGAAGCTTGCAATCTGACCGCTGAAGTCTTGCGCCCTTTGGCTGTCGGGCACGCCCTGCTCCTCGTCTCGTAGCTTGGCCGTGGTGCGCTGAGCGTCCGCCGCCAGCGTCTGCAGAGTCGAGTACGCGCTGTCCGACTGATGCCATTGGTGAACGAGTTGGTCGAGAAGCTCTTGTCTTGCGGCCATGCTGTATGTTAAGTTTTCAAGACGGTCCTGTTCGTCTAGGAACTCGTCAGGTAGCTTGTGACACTCCATGACTCCGTCCAGCACGTCCCCACATTCTCCAATTGCCTTGGCAAAGGCGTTGATGCGATGTGCAAGCTTCTCGCTGTCTGCATCTAAGCGCGCAGCGACTCGTTGCCGAGAGGCGGAGCTTCGCTCTCGCAGTGGTGATCGGAGCGGTGTTTGGGGACTCATTCTGTCACTGTCATAAGAGCTGGCAGTGGAGTCGGGATTGCGCCCCACTCCGTGCAAATAGATGTCGACACTCCATCTTGCTCGCGTGGTGACAAACTCATCGACATCCGCAAGAAGTCCATGATAAATCTCCCAGCAATGTCGTCGGTGGCTGTCCCACTCAAGGCGCGCCCTCAGCAGCTCCAGCTGATCTCGCCTGGATCCACACAAGTGAAGCAGCTTGTCAAGGGCGACAAGCGTTTCAAGAGCCAGCTCCACCAGATCGGCATCTTGAGGAGACATGTGCCGCTCGGAGGCCTCTGAAACGGGAAGGCCACCAGAGACCGGTTTGGGCGGGTCAACACTTGGTTCACGAAGGCGGGCATTGATGACACTAGCGTCTGGTCTGCTCTGACTTGGACAAAGAAACGCATGCTGGCATCCGTGAGTCGGCTCACCTTTGGAGACGCGCCTCAAGCGCTCGACATCAGCCGCATTCCAAGCGGTAGCCTCCTCCTCTATGCGCTCCACCTCGTCGATCCAGCTCTCCGTCTCCGCTATCCTCGCATCCAAATCTGGCCAAATCTCATCCGATGGTCTGTTGCCCGCTTCTTTGCAATTCGCAAGAGGTTCGAGCTTCGGTCGCTGGTCCAAAATCTGGGATGAGAGTTCATCGAAGTCCAGGCTTAGCACAGCGGTCAAACGCACCGCTCATTCGCTGAGGCACTCACTTGCAAGGACTCCTCGATGCGGGACTGGCGAGAGAGGCTAAAGTCGTAAGCTCAATGGACTTTGATGCTCTGCAAATCTTGTCTTAGATGCGCACCTTTCCCTCATTGAACTTATTGAGCTCGATCACATCCTCGCTACTGAGCTGCTGGCTAGGCACTTCCTCGAGCCGTGATGGCGTTTCCACGCTGTTCGCCACATCAACGCCAGCGCCAGTCTGTGTTGTCACGACCGTGGCACCTTCATCCTGCCAAGCAGCGCCTCCACTGTCCTGCAACGCAGAAGAGGTTCTCATGGACGTGTCGGTGAGGTCTTCCGTGACTGTAAACGCCCGTGAGATGAGCTCATCGTCTGATGATACCCGAGCGAGCTCCATAGCACCGGCTGCTGCGCTTCCATCTTGCGTCTGAGATGGCAGTCCTTCGAGCGAGTGGTCGTCACTCGCCTGGCGAGGGCTCGCTGAGTCACTTGTCGTCGCCATCTGTTGTCGCTATCGCTGTGGCGCCTGCCCGTGAGACATCGTCCTTTGTCGTTGGTTGAAGGAGCTAAGGAGCTTTGTCGAAGACACTCGAGCCAATCGACTAGAGATGAATGCTGGAAAGCAAGGCATCCCGAGACAGCAGTGGAATACCAAGCGGCGCCCACGGCCCTTTTGGCATGTGATCACCCTTTGTGCAGGGATATGAGGGTGAATCGAGGTGAGCTTGAAATGAGCGCCACAAGCGATTCGTGATAGCATGATAATGTTGACAACTGAGCCATTGCCCAGCACAGCATGCGCTACTCACAACTGACTCATTTACGGTGGCTTCGACTGCCGCGAACCTGGGCGGACCGACCCGTGCATCCGATACGCTAAGATGATGATGAGCTGCTCGGCGCGTCGAACGCGGCACGTAGTCCTGCACGTGACTCACTCAGATCTCACTTTCGACTCTCGACTTGACTTTTGACTCATAATTGACTTGACTCCTCACCTCGATGTCCGCTCCGGACTTCTTGAACAATCTTGAATCTTTGAATGGTGTACACGGTGCCAAATCGTTGGTTCAAATTTATGTTTGCATCACAGCGAAATTCTTATCGAAAGTCACCTCACACCTCACACTATTGGCCGGGAACAACCGCCAGTGTACACTAGGCTGGGCCATGACGAGAGCACCAGACACGCCTTTTCTTTTGGCTATATAAATAAATATGACCTGAAATGGCCCGCGACTTCATGATTGTGGTGTGTGATCGTGCGTGCTCCGCCCGTCGAACCTTGCGAGGTGCATCCGCTGCACCAGCTTTCAAGATTCGAGCGGCCCGCCGCGTTGGTCCTCGTGATCAGGTCGCTCGCTCATCATGCTCCTGTATACGTCTTATTGTCTTCGCAAGATGACCAGGGCTAGGCGAGATATTTGCTCAGCTCAGCTCGCAGCGTGTCTGCTCAGGTTGTGGTCGAGCCGCACAGCTGGCTCGATTTTGATTTAGCCTGAGACAGCACCGGACGATTGTGTTTGCGATTGGGTGTTTGATGTGGCACCAGCCGCGTCCGATAGCGAGCCCTGGTTTTCCCGCGGCTCTTAGACGCATCCAAGTCCATCATGTAGGGCGCGTACGCGTAGGCCATGTCCACGCAAGACTCATTGAATCCCCTACAGCTGCAGGCGCTATGATCCTTAAAGGTGGATGGATGAATGGTGCACGACAGCCTCACCCTCTGCACTCACACTTTGACTCACTGGTTGATGCACAACTTCACTCGGATTGAATTCACCATTGCACATATATGACGGGCCTATGCCCGCGGGTGCCACAGCGATCGCGACTTTGATGTATTTTGCCAGTTTTTGAGCATTGACGAGCGTTTCACCAGAGTCTGATTCAGCTTGCGCCGCGAGGCGCGGCGCGGCTCCGCGTCTCAGCCCGAGCTGGCAGCCAGCAATGATATGTGAATCTAGGTTCAGCGCTCCAGGCTGCACATCGCACTCGATCGGACGCGGCACAGTACCCCGCCTATGTCCAGCCCTCATCAAAGAGCATCAATATTACGCAAGTCCGCCGACTCTGAGATGTCAACACACTCTTTCGTCTTGTGCACCTAATCTCTAGCTAGCCGCTTGCGGATTGAAATGCCAAGAATCGGCGTCGAAATGGCACCACCGGGCCGACACAAATTCTCGCGATGCAAGCGATGGATGAAGTTGTTTTGTAGTCAAAGTGATCGAGTGACAGAGCCGCTGTCGATGGAGGCAAAAAGCGGTACAGTCAAAGTCAATTCTTGGTTGAGTGACGAAGTGTGCAATCGTGAAGCTAGTCGTGATTCATACATTCACTTACTCGCTTCATGGACTCGCAATCGCCGGTGAACCACCAGTCGTGAGTCAGAACTACTCAACACCGCCGCCAACCACTCATCACGACTTCTAACTGCACGCCCAAACTTTTAGGCTAAAGACCATATCACGCAGCAGAAACGAAGGTTGCGCTGCAGGGGCTCACAGCTGCTGACAGCAGCAGAACTGAGCCGGGAGGCAATTCAAAGAGTTGTCCTTTACAGTTGGCTGCAGCGATGCCCGATGGCTGTGACAGCAGCTTCGGCCCGCTCGTACCCGCATGCAAGCTAATGCAGAAACGCGCTAGCGCAACACGCAACAGCAGCCGTTTCCCACACCGCCGCCACAGATAATCATGAGGACGCCCACGCAGAGAGTCTTTGCAGTCGCGATTGTTGTGATTTCCATCAGCTCGAGGAGACCTGCTAGTATTCAAAGACCCAGCGGGAAAACAGCGCATCTCTTCGTTAGTGCAGCGGACGTAGCCGCATTTGCGCCTCAGCAAAGCGATCGAGTGGCGTGCTTAGCCGCGGACCCGATTCCATGCAGAAGGAGTGGAGGTGTTTGACTCCCATTACACGATGCTTACTCCATCTGAGCCAGTCTCCATCGGTCAAGACACAGCTGATGGCCAGAGCAAAGCTCACGAGGTCATGATTGATCCACCAATCCGACGCCAAAGCGCTCTGGTCAGATCCATAGAGACGCTATCAGGCAGAGGCGCAGAATGGGCCCCCACCCACCCCTTGCTCGGAGGCTCGGGTTTCGGCAGCGCCTCTTCTGCGTTCGATGAAGGAGCCGTGGCTCAAGCTTCGAATACTTGAAATGTTGTCGGTATATGAGTCAAGATTTTTGAGTGCATCCATCGAGTGTGGAGCACGTGGCTACCCCGCTCTCACTCCTCCGAACGCAGCCGCCTATGCACTGGAGTGCTGGGGTCGTGGTTCATGAAATCTGATCCAGCGAGCATTGACCCTCCTCAGTGAACAGCATAGCAAGGCACCTCTGAAGCCGCATGGGATCGCCTCACCGAGTGGAAGCCAGCTGATTGAATGAAATGAATGGCCCGCCTTTCATCCTGCTTCTATAGCTCTCATGACTCACATTCACGATTCTTGATTCAAATTGAATCAGGACCATGCAGGCATCCACGCTCACACTCCAGAACTGCTGCATATAGCTCTGCTTGTGCGCAGGTCGGTGAGCCCGTGAACGACACTAACGATTTGTAAGACTTGACGTGCGCTAGAACATGCGAAAGCTTGTCGTCGCAGTCCCTAGTGTGTATTAAGCATGCTGCTCATGTGCTCTGGCTTGCTCAGCAATATACTCACGCAGCACTGATCACGAATCTACTTGTACTACTCGAAAGTATGGCCACCATACCTCTGCTGGCGCCTTAGCCTCGAGACACGGGCTCAGTAGACAACATCAAAGTGGACGCTCATCAATCTGAAGCACGGGTGGGCGCACCTCTGACTCGTCGCGGAGAAAGCGTTCAGTCGAAACGGCGCTAACGCCAGCAAGGAACACCTGGTGAGGTTGCGGTCAAAGCTGCGCCTGCATGATGCTGATGCGTGACGCTTGCTGGCGTTCCACAGTCGGACAAAGCTTGCTGTTGCATATGCGTAGCCACGCGCTTCTCGTGCTGATGTCGGTTGCATGGTCTAAATTCTCGGTGGACTGGCAGCGAGATAGACGCGCGGCGTTCACACCAGCAGGCTTCTCACGCTTGTACGATGCATCCCTATTGGACAGCCCGAGCCGATCAGGTCTGCCAGCGCCGCATGATCGGACGGGCCTCTCTGGGACCAGATCATAGTTTGAAGATGTCATACCTGCTGGCGAGTATGAGCTCGAAGGCGTAGGGAGGTCTCGCGAGCCGCTGCGCCGTATGCACTTCCTACCCAAGATAGGCTCGGTTCTCCCACCCAAGCCATGCAGCAGTCGTCGGTCGCATTGCCTTGGCTGCCGCCTCAACTCAATGGTGAATCGAGAATTCGAAGGACGGACACGGACACGGGCCCGTTCGCCCCACCCCCGCCATCAAAGCGCAATCTCTGGTATATGGAACACAAGCGAAGCGACTCTCATCAGAGTAAACAGCAGCAGAGCTCTGCTGCCTGTCCACGCGAGGTCCAGCGCAATCCGCCGCTTGCTCTGCAAGGTGACACAGGATCGCAACCATGCACCTTCCTTTTAGCTCCCTATTCACGATTATATACAAGTCTCAGCCCCTAAAGTCTGATCTTACGAGGAGTCATCAACCCCTCCTACGACTTCCCATCTTCGGGGGCGTCCTGCCATTGACGACTAGTCTTCCTTACTTCACCGCATGCATGGCACAACGGTCGCCTCGCTTCTCGACCGGTACAGGCGCTCAAGCGTGGGTAAAGAAATCACCTGAACACAGCCTTGGCCAGGCGCAGTGTAGCTCCACTCGATCAAGCAGCGACGCTTTGACATAGGACAAAACAGCTTTCTGGCTCGCACTCGGATGGACTGAACCTCTCGGAAGCTTTTCTCACTCACTCGTGCTGGTAGATACCAAACCCAGCTGCCCGCGTGATCAGCTTTCGGATATTCCACGCATTTTGGTGCTCTCACCTGATATCGCGAATGAAAAGCGTCGACAAGGTACAAGAAGGGAGGTCTTCGAACTGATCTCCTTCTCCCCCGCCAATCGCACACGCAAGTTCTGTCGACACAAGGAGCCTTTTGACCACTCGACACGATTGCCACTCTCAGCGCATCAGACTCGGGGATTCGCTCGCTGCTTTCTGTCCGGCTCAATCGGGCTCCTTCGCAACTACTGCTTGACAACTTTCGGGCCTGAACTCGACGACGGCCACCAAGCTGAATTGGCTAATCCTCTTCGCCGAACTCTTGTCGCTCTAGTCATGCTGTCTATCACCGAGAAGCGTGCTATGATCCAGCGTTCGGTCATGGACTGGAGCAGCCCTGCGTATGGAAGGCGTCCTTGTCCACCCAACCTGCGCACGGTAGCTGTGACAAATCTGCCCATGTCTGGTGAGGCAGCGCGGCACGTCTCGATGTTTGTCAAAAATCCTCCTTGCTGACGTGAATCACGACACCTTGTGCAGTCACTGAAGAGCATGTGGTCTACTTGCTACAACCTTTCGGCGAGATCGTTGGCACCCGCTCGTCTGAAAATACGGATGCGCATTGGGTCTCCGTCACCTTCAGCACTTTTGAGAGCATGCGCCTCTCGCTGTGCGTCAATAAACAATTTCATTTCGGACGCGAAATGTGAGCCGTCAGCTTCACTTCTCTTCTTCGATGCGTGGTAATGCTGACCCAGCCTGAGTGCCGGTGACTTCAACAAGTGGGGCTCAACCATACATGGCTCTCTACTTGCCCTCTGACCAGGAGCTCTTCGAGCGCGACAGACATCAGAGTAGACTAGCACCAACGGGACCTCACAGCTTTGTCCCACAATTCTACGGCCAACAGCTACAGGCCGACGTGTTTGGTAATCGTCAGGTGTCGAAGCTGAACGATGAGGGCAAAGCCCAGGAGAAAGTCTTGTCCACCAACATCTACGTCCTCAACCTCCCGCTGAATGCTACCTCGGACAGCATGGCGGAGCTCTTTGGCCACTGCGGCCTAGTGACGCACTGCGTCATTCTCGCCATCACTGACAGCCAGGCTCGTCGACGTGGCTTCATCGATATGGGAGCTCCATGGCAAGCACTTCGTGCGATGGACACCTTCAATGGCTACGTCTGGAATGGATATCCGATCGAAGTATCTCATGCATTTGTGCAACGCAACGGAGGCCCTCTAGCAGACCACAAGTCGGAAGCAATGAAGTGCAATCTCTCGCGCAATCGCTCCAGCGTCGGATCTCGCAGAGCGCTCGAAGACAATCGGTCGATGTGGGGCTCAAAACAGTCGTGGGCATCTTGGCATCCTGAACCTCTTCAGCTTCGTGGTACCTCTCCAAGTGCGCACGGGTATCTTGGACGGGACACATCCGCCCTACCTTCGCCTCTTACACCACTGTCCAGCCGTTCGAGTCTCTTTTCGGCAGAGAGCGGTGGACAAGACAGCATCAGCACCAACAATTCGTTCATGATGCACAGCAACCCTTACCTTGGAGCGGCGCCCACCTACTTGGATGCGCACTACAATGGCTCTTCCAACGACTTGACTTCGCTGACCCGCGACCCCATCACCATCCTGGTACGCGGTCTGGATCCCTCGGCCATCGTAGATAATGAAGACTTTCGACGTGCGTTCGAGCCGTACGGTAGCGTCGGCACGTGCTCCCTCGCCATTGATGAGCATCAGATTCCCAGAGGCTATGGGTTGGTGTCCTTCTGCGAAGCTGAATCGGCCCGTCGGGCCTTCCAAGACATCAATGGCAAGGTGCGCAATGGGAAGATGCTCACGGCCGAGTACGTCGCCTACAGCTCACCACAGCCAAAGGAAAAGCCCATCTCGGTGCCTGCAAGCGCTTGGTCGCCGCCTTGGATGAAACCAGGGTCTGGCCATCTCCGCTTCGGCCAGTCAGCGCCGAATGATCTGCAAGTCTACGACCATCCGTCGAAAATGCCAAGCCCGAGTGCTGTCAACATCAATATGAGCGGACGTGGTCAAGCCCCTCAAGGCATCCCCTTCCCATACGGACCTCCGCACTTCAATCAGCCCTACGCGCCTAGCCAAAGTGCGTACCGGTCCACATCTCAAGGTATGCCACACTGGATGAAAGAGCAGATGTGCACGATGGGAGCCGCAATGTCGTCGTCGACTACTGAAGCATCATTCGGCGCTGGCCCCCCGCACAACGCTCTCAGCCACCTCCTCGGCGAGCCGTTCGTCCCGACGCCATCGTCTAACGCTCATGCTTCGCAAGATCATCATGCAGCATCTGCTTCACAACCTCAGGCTTCTTTGAATCCCACCACGAGATCAGACATTCTCGACGCCACGGCGAAAAGTCCACCATCTGAGCTGGCTCTGTCGCGCATGACGTTGGAGCCGTGGACACCGTCCGGCCAATCGACTCAGACTGGTGCCACAAGTCCTGGTAGTGCTCTGAGCTACGGAAGCACAGCTACGAGCGCTTCTAATCTTCAGACGCCGGAGAACACGTTCAGTCGCCGGAACATCACCAGCAATCAGACCTGGCCCTCGCAAGCACACGACGTGGGAGCCGGCGTGTGGTCGCCGACCACGGACGACAAACATCTTCGCATGTCTGGCTTCGACAGCTCGGCTCTACGTGCTCTGCAACAGGACAGTCCTCCTCACGTCCCGAGCAGGCGTCGCGCCACGCTGGACCCGGTTGGACACGAGCATGCCACTGGCTCGCCGCCACACACTCTTCCCGACGAAAAGTCTGTGCTAGGAATCACCAATCTGCAGCAGTCTTAAGAGACGTCGCATCCTGCCTGCGCCGTTCATGGCCATCGTCTGATGATGGTGTTGCCCAACGCATTGCTCTCCCTGTTCTCTTCTCCATACAATACGCACCTTGCTATGCGTCTACATTCGCAACGCGGATGGCGAGGTGTGCTACACTGCGGACACGCTCACGTCGGATGGCTCTTGTTCCTAAATCAATACATTCTATCCCGCGGCACAAGATCAACCCAACAGAATCCAAATTTGACCCAGAGAAAGCTTCCCGTTCCCACATCAATGCTACATCCCCACACCAACTCGTCACTACTAGCTCGATATCGCCACCGCCGTTGTCCTTACCCAGATCCGTCACATGAGTTTTGCCGCTCCCCTTTGCCTAGTCATTACCAAAGTCTTGCTTGCCCCTGGACTTCTCGACGCATGCTCTCATTGCGCGTTTCTTCAAGCAGCAGCACAGATCCAAGAAGCACAAGTCTGACAACCACAAGCTCTGGACTCTACACACAAGCACACAATTATCGAAAATGGCACACAGATTGAACAGCGGAGCTTGTAGTGGGCAAATGATGTCGATTTGCGAAGTTGTCGTGCTTGCGAATACATCGCGCGCACGACGGGAATATTGTTCAGAGCATCTTGCTCATGTAAGGACCGTCCAAATGGTAGCCTAGACGGGCGTAGTAGTCTCTCGTCCCGACACCGCTGATGACCGCTAGCTTTTCACTTCCGTGTTCCTCCCTTGCTATCCTCTCCGCCTCTTCCATCAACAACGTCCCGAATCCCTGATGTTGAAATTTCGTAGGGTCTCTAGAGTGTATAGGTACGGCACTGCCGTACGTGTGCAGTTCCCTTACGATGCTGCTTGGACCCTTTGTCAATTCGGGTCTAAATGTAGCCTCGGAGCACTTTCTCAAACGTAAGAGAGCCACCAGCACATCCTTTTCGGGATCTTCGTAGGCCAAAAAAGTTTCCCAACCTCCATTGGCAGAGTAATCCCTGCGGACCAGCTCCACATCCGTAGGCCTCACTTTGTCCTTGATCTCATGAATGCCAACTTCGCGCGATCGGACGTCTCTGCATTCCAGACCCAAGTCTCTCACCCGATCGTCGGCCAACTGATGCAGGTTCCCGTTCTCCACGCCCGAAGTGACGATGGGCATCGGGATGTCCCGCTGCACCCGATAGATGCGCGTCCAGGGCGGCACGAGAGCCAAGATTCGCGCTACTAGCTCGACCAAGTAACTTGCAGGGTAAGACTTGTATCTACCTGTCCTCCAAAGCTCGTAAAGTCCCGTGCCACGAATGACGAGCGTGGGATAGAGCTTCAAACCATCGGATCTGAAAGCCGGGCTCTCAAAGTACTCTACGAATTGCGCCATGTCCCTCTCTGCTGGCACCTGCGTCACGGCGTGTGCGTCGACAGGAAATTGGATGAGCTTGCAGCGCTAAGGCAGCCATGACTCGCGAGAGGGCCGGCAGAAGACTCACGTTGGGCAAGTTGGGCATCATGTGAGCTACGACTTTGTAGCCCGCATCTTTGGCCAGATGAAACGTTTCGCAGGTAGCTTTGACGGTGTGGCCCCGATTCGTATCCCGAGCTACATCCTCGTAGACGGACTGAACACCAATCTCCAGTCGTGTGCAGCCGTACCTCAGCAATTGGGATATGTGCGGTCGAAGGCAGTAGTCTGGCCGCGTTTCTCTGCGGGGCGTTGAGGAAGAAAGCCGAGGATGTGAGCGGAGACGTATGCGATGCCAACCACTGAAGCTCCCTACGCACATGGTGATCCCAATGCACTTGGTCGACGATCTTTCGGAAAACCTTGAAACAAGAGAGCAGACGAATGTTGAGAGAAGCGCTTCCTGAGCAAAGCATCCTCCAAAAGACGTACCTGACTGCTTCGTCGACATCCTTTCCTGTCCATCCGCTCAAGCTGTTGTGCAGCTGAGCAATGAACTCGTCCCTGTAATCCTGAGGCAGGGACATGAAGGTTCCACCCATCACGATGAACTCCACTTTGTCCGTCGAGTGGCCAAGTTCTCTGAGCTGAGATATCCGGCTGCGCGACTGCTCAAACGGATCGTAGCGAGCGCGAATCGCCCTCATCGATGTCGGCTGTCGTGAGGCACTCGTGGCGTGAGCTAAATCTGTCCCCTTCATGCGGCTTCACCTTGATTGTTCATCCCTCAAGACCAAAGTCCTCCTGCCCAGATGCACCACCGTCAACCTGCTAGACAAACCTACTCACCTCGTAGCCCGTGTAGCTCTGCGTGCTGTACTCGAAGTCGCTGTCCGGTCCACCTGGACAGTAGACGCAGACATTACCAGTCAAGCTGATGTGAGGGCACCTGTGCGGCTTGCTCATGACTGCCACCACCGCAATACCACTAGCGCTTCTGATGGGCTTCGCCTTGATCAGAGGGATGATGCTCTTCCTATGAGAGTCGGGAATGGAAGCAATCACTTCCGTCATTCTAGGAATTCCAGAATACCCGTGCTTCTTGCATGCTTGCTTTCGGAAAAGGTTCACTTCCAGAGGCAAGCCTTTGTCGTAGGCTTGCACTAGCAGAGAAGCTACTTCGGCACATACACGGACGAGGTTCTCGGCAGTGTTGCCTTCTTTCGAACTGCCTGGCTTGGGTCCTTTGCGACGCTTGGTCGACTCGTCGCCCGCTTTCGAGCTCGTTCCATCCCGCGTGGACAGCGTCAATGTGGTCGTGGCGGTCGACGACATGTTGCTGGCTTGCATGCGCTGGAAATGAGCTTTGGATTGGGAGCTGAATTGATACGAGCAACGGTCTGACGAGACTCGACAAAGGTGTACATCACGTTGGTGATTGTCAAAAGTGGCCCACTCCGCCAGGTCAGAGGCATTTGTCACACACCGATCCCAAAGTCAAGCTTCATACTCGCGCTGTCTCAATTTCTTTTTTCGACTCCAAAATTGATCACGTGACCACAAAATTTGGTGGAGCTCCGGCTCAAATACTAATTAAGCTCCGTGACAGCCCCTGTTTTTGGCAAAGCGACCTTTGGATCGAGCTTGTGATCGCAGCTCGGCCTTTATTTCTGGGTCGAACAAATGAAGGCTGCGAAAGAGACATGGCAGGCAACAAGATTCGTGATACGTCGTCGTCTGTGCCAGAAATACACGCAAGCGAGTGAGAGCCTGTCCAATCCCGAACTTTCAAAAGTCGATAGCCGGCAAAGTGCGCACAAGAGCTTAGCATGATGCTCATCAGGAAGAAGCTCGAGTGATGCATCTGGTTTAGCGTCAATCAGACGGCAACTCAAGACTGCAGACGTACCCGATGTCCGTTCACAATTTTGTAGCATCGTTCAGGTGCTTTCATTCACGATTCCAGAATACAGTCCTCGGTATTTAGTACCGCGCCTACTTACCGCGCCCATGCCGCTCGGACACGCCTTGGCGCACTCGAGACATGTGCTACCAGTACTACTACTATTACTAGTGATGCACGCAAGAAGACTCAATTCAAGACTCTGATCGCACGCAGCCTTGATTTCCCAAATTGCCAAGCCCCACATTGAAGATGTACAACCCACAACTCGAGGAGCAAATCCGACTTGTGAGCCGCGCACACCTTACTCGGCAGTCTGAGTCACGAGTCGCAAGTCAGCAGCAGCAGCTGTCCACGTCGCGGCTTCATATGTGCCGTACCGTATGTGATGCATGACTTGCCTCTTTGAGCAGACTGATCGCGCGTGTTTCGAACCTCGAGATGCTGCTGGTGTTGGCCGCTGCAGTCGTGAGTCGTGAGTTGAGTCTGGAGTCAAAACGACGCACGCAAGCTAGGCCAGCAGCTTGACGTCGATGCTCATGGGTCCACGAACACGCAAAACACGCGCAGCGCCCATGCGCGGTTCTCGGACCCCGCGCCGTTGCACGCACGAGGGTGCATGCATGCATGCATATTTGTATTCAATCACGAATACTCACATTCGTGATTCAACATTGGTCACACCGCAGAAACTGCAGCATGTATACGGTACACTGCTCAGGACTACCACTCGTACACAGTCTCGTGTACACTCGAAGGCCCAAAGAGATTTGAGTTCATAGCCTGGAGCTTCATGGGCAGACACGTTTGGACGGAGGCTTTGAGACAAGCTCAATCGACCCGCCAAGTCCTTGAGCACGTGCAGCTTTGTGAAGGCGCCTTCATTCAGATTGCAAAGCTCAAATGGGGTGCGTACTGTAATTGAAGCTTTTGAGTGTTACGCGTGCTACAATTTAATCACGAATATGGTTTACCGTAGCGGGGCCGACACGACGGCGCTCGATCGATCGCTATGAAGTCTACAGTGAGCGCGGCGGGGAGGCTGCATGCTGCAGCGTGCAGGCACCTCGATTGACCGAAACTTGCTCTCGCTGCAGCTCTGATGCTGCCGCCCCATGAACAAGGTCCGCGACCGTACAATAATCAGCTCTCACGGGTCTTTGCTTCGCTCCTCCCCTCCTCTACAGGCACCCACAACCTCCTTGGCTGATTCGTCTCAATCTACCACGGTGGGGCTTGGCTCTTTGCTGCCCTGTCCTACTTGCCTGCTTACTCACTTGCTTGCTCGCTTGTCTCATCGACCGACTTGCCAAACATCCATGCATCCATCGACACATCGCACTGGCACTGGCCGTTCTTGCACATGTCCCGGCACATGCAAATGAGGACCGCACAGTAGATCAGCACGATGAATCAACTGCCGACCGCCGCGCGTCGTCGCTCAAACCTGGGCAACGCCCCTTCGGCCGCCGCTGCGGTCTCGACTCAAGCTGCACCATCATCATCCGACACGAGCAAGAGCGACCACATCCAGTTGCCCACATCCTCGTCCCGTACCGCAATGACAGCATCCATCCCTGCAGCGGGCTCGGGTGCGTCTGCAGCTACATTATCCAGCTTTCCTGATGCATCTAGCGCTCCTGATGTCGAGACGACCAACTGGAACGCTGTAAAGCTGTTGGCTACCAAGTATGGTATATATCTGAGGCCTTATGAGGAGGAGGAAGCAGCAGCTGCTGCTGCTGTCGCATCTGCTCAAGCCTCATCGTCCACCTCTTCATCTGTGCATCCATCTTCCTTCGTATCGTCCGACGCTACTGCCACTGACGAACTCGACTACGGCCGCGGTACGCCTTTCAGAATTACAGCCAAGCGCATTGAAGGTGGCAGAACCGTGTATCGTTTCAAGTACAGGAACGACCCAGCGTCTCAAGCGGACGCAATGGGCCCAAATAGCAGCTCTCCGACTATTCCGCGCTCGAGCTCGGAGAGCGTCGCTTTAGCAGCTTCCCATGACATTGACACGATGGCGCGTCTCAGTGTGGAGGATCTAAGCGCGGGAACGGCAGGCGACTCGGCGTTCAAAGCTCGGCGAGGACGTGCAGGCAGCAAAGGAAACGCCTCGGCTGCTGGGTCTACTGGTAGATCTAGTAAAGGCAAGAGTAAGGCTCTCAAGACCAGCAAGAGCATCCCGACATTACGAAGCATGGGCTTGATGGGAGCGTCTTCTGGACAAGCGAAGAACGCCGGGGGGTCTAGCTCCGCTGCTTCTGGCTGGGTCGTTGTGCCTCCTTTGCCCGGTCAAGCCAAGTCAGGCAACACTACTCCAATGCCTCAAATTTCTTCCACATTATTGTCTCCGCCTCATGAAGGAGGTCACGCCACGAATCAATCTTCGAGATCCTTCAGCGGCCCTTTGAACGCGCGCGATAGATTGACAGCAGCAGAGGCCGACAGGTTGCAAGGCGGTGATGTCTTGGGCGCTATCTTGGGACTTAGACAAGAGCAGCAGCAAGAAGTACAGCATGCTCAAGAACAGCAGCAGCAGCATATTCTGTCCAGATACGAGGCAAAGGGCGAAGACGTGTCTCTGAGGACGGGTCTGGAAGCCCACGCTGCTGCCAACTTGTCGCGCAGAGCAGCGCCTCCATCCAGCTGGCGCGGTGCTAGCCCTTTTGGCCACCCAGTTGTGCCCATGACCAGAGGAAGCAGCGCAACTTCTTCCTCTTCTGGAAAAGCGGCAGTGACAAGGGGCACCTCTTGGGACACTTCGCCCATACCTCAGATGACAAGCTTTGGCGAGCCGCTGTTCAAGGATGTGCACAAGTTTGCCGCTGCTCAAGGTCGGTCGCCTTACAGCTCAGACCAAGACCAGGGGCCCGACGCTTCTGGTAATCACGCCTCTGCGCGGCATGCGAGAAGCCTGTCTGACTCTCGCTCCCCCGCTAGCCCGCGCCAGAGGCTGCTTCGGGAGGCCCAGAGCTTCGAAAGTGCCGACTCCGCAGCCACTGCGCGAGCTGGGGAAGAAAAAATCTCGCTGTCGACACTTCCTCCAGCCATCCTGCCGCATCTCGACATCAGCGAATGCGAGGAAATTCTTTGTGACGAAGGGTACAGAGACGAAGACGACGAGGCGGAAAGGATGGTACCGCTTTCTGCCATCAGGGCCAAGGATGAAGAGACCTTGATATTTGATGTGCTCCAGCATTATGCCTTGACTGACGCGGCATCAATTACCTCTCCCGCAACTTCCACGAGCGGCGGAGATTCGAAACGATCCAGCTTAGCAACAACACTGTCGTCGTCGGGCGAAGATCAGAGTCCGGTACACACTCGTAGCCCTTCCTCGACGGAGGATCCCGCCTTGGGTACTTCAGGCGCAAACGCCAAAGAATCTGCGCGCGTCACGATCGCCTCTGCTACGTGTGGAGATGATCCTAGATTTGCTATCTGGGCCATGCGGTCATCTGATATGGACGGGCAGCTGCAGCTTTGTGGTCGTGATGGAAAGGTTCTTCCGGATAGTCCCCAGCTGGGAGACACACCCTTCGGTCGACAAGCCAAAGCTTCGGCGGGCGATGACGGCTCTGCATCTTCCTCGCAGCTTGGAAATACCGCAGCAGCGAAGCGCTACAGCACTGCTCGCGCTGTGACGGGCGAGGGCGCCTCGGCTGTCGCTGCGACATCTTCGCCGACCAGTGCTGGACAGGGCACCCAGCAAGCCAACGGCAGAGCTCGAAGCGGAAGTCGCTCCAAGCGCACTGGCTCAGCCAGCGGCGCAGGCTCCTTCATGTCATCAACTTCAACGCAGCCCAAGCCTTTCCTCATCGCGGGCACGTCCACTCGTATTGTCTCGGAGCTGACGTCGGAGATCGATGGCAGGTTGTTGACGGATTTTTTCCTCACCTTCCGAAGCTTCATGACGGCCTCCGAGTTGCTGTCGCTATTGATCATGCGCTTCAAGTGGGCCATGGCGCAAGTGGTAGGACCTTCCGACGAAGCGCAAAGGCGCATTGTCCGGGTTCGCACTTATGTCGTCCTCAAGCATTGGCTGTCCAACTTCTTCGAGGCCGACTTCTTGCCCGATCGCGCGCTCAGGCGACAGTTGACGGAATGGCTGAATAGGATCGGATCGGAGCAGGAGCTTCGATCCAGACCTGCCGATGCTGGTATCATACGCAGCTTGAAGAAGCTCGTCAGGAGTCTCAAGGAGCAGTATCAGAGCGCCGGCATGAGCGGTCTGCTTCTTCACGAGAGCGGACGGTCGGACAGTAATCAGAGCGAACCAAGTCCCGAAGCGGGTCACTCGTCTGCCGCGTTCGCTGCTTCGTTTCACGGAACACAGAGTGTCGAGGCAACCAGCACAGAAGAGGTGGACCTCAACTTCAGCGAGGACTCGGGAGAAGATGCGCCAAAAAAAGCTCCCTTTACCATTCAGCAGTCACTCATGCCCTCGAGGGATGCTGCGCCAGAGCTGTCCTCGGCCGATATCGCCAACGTCGAAGATGCTGACGGCGTTCGTGCTCTGTACGGCCGAGGTGGAGCGGCACGCCTTGTGCGCCATCGCCATACCTTGGCGCCTGCTACGCGCCAACAAGCAGCGCCTCCCAGTCCTCTCCAGCCTTATAGCTCAACGGCTTCTGGCACGTCACAGTCTGGAATGCTGCCGCCTGTGCTTCCTTCCTCTCAGAATCCCATCTCGAGGGTGTTTGTCAATACCGTCGGGCGCATCTCGAGGTTCCGCCGTGTCATTGGGCAGCGTGGCGCGCCGAACAATGCCTCTGAAGCCAATGGCATCGACGGATTGGAATTCGAGGCAAACGAGAGCGGCGACTTGCTCTTCATTCGAGGAGGCTTGGAGAATTTCATCTCGTTCTTCGGACTCAGGGACGAGGATCAAAAAGGCGACATCCGTCATGCGCTGGCGTCGCACCTGCACACCGCAGAGGAGAGGGCGCTCGCGCCCAGCGAGCTGACCGAAGACGAGGCACTCGGGAACATCAGCAGCGATAGTGCGGGTGAAAGTGCTGGGATGGAGGGTACCCCAAGTCTGAGCGGCGCGAGCGCGCAGACGAGAAGCACTCCTGCCTCAAGCTTGGATTTGTCTGCCTCGGAGCGCGAATTGCCCGTGCTGGATGCCAGCGCTCGCGCTGGACTCGGCATCGAGGGTGCAGGCATTGCGAGCGACCCCGGGTCAAACAACGCTTTGACAGGGCCCGACGCAAAGGCAGTGTTGACGAGCACTGATCACGATCCATTACTTGCGGAGCAAGGAGAGCTCTCTGCGACGACGGGCAGTTCCTTGGGGGAGGCGGCAATCAACGAAGTGAGCGATGGCGGGCAACATCCGGTCCACCACGCTCCAAGCGCATCTACGCTTCGGTCCGACTCCACTGTCATTCGTACGCCTAGCTTGCGAAAGTCCACTGCGCCCCAGGAGCCACGCAGCTCAATGCTTTCGAGCCGATACCGGGGCCTTGGCAGCAGGCAAAGCATCAGATCGATCGCTAGTATGCAACGAACCAGCAGCGACCGGCCGAATATCGTTCAGATCGATGACATCGACCTCTCGAGTGATGAGGACGATGGAGTGGTCAGAAGGGCTCTGCGCAGACTGCCAGGTGCCAGAGATCTTCGCATGGCCCAGCACGTCCAGGATCTGGAGCCGACAAAAGCAGTTCGAATGAGCATGGAAAGCCTTGCTAGCTTCAACCCGGGCCAAGTCTACAGCCCTATAGGCGCGCGAGCGTCGGTCGGAAACGCGTCTTTGACGCGCGCCCCCGGGTTTGGCGGCCCTGGTAGCAACTATGCGCCTTCGATTCTGTCAACGCGAATGAGCTTCATGGAGCGTCAAAGAGCAGAGGCCGAACTGCTGCATCCTGATCCGGTCATCGGAATGCTGCAGACCGATCTGTTCGACCCAGATGAAGCCTTGGCCGGCTACGAGCTCGTCCGTGGCTTCAGACTCGACCTTGCCGATAGCGACGACGAGGAGCCTGGAGACGTCGAAGCTGCTTTACGGCGCTTGGAAGGTGTCATAGATGAGGATAAACAACGGTCCAAGGCGAAGCGAGTGGAGAAGCTCTTCCTGGAAAGCCTGGCGCGGAATGCGCAGACGTCAACAGGTGCGCAACTAACGGGGCCAGCTGCGGACGACTCTCAGATCGCCGGCTCGGAAGCAGTGGCCCAAACAGACGGCTCGAAAGCAAACGAGTCTCACGCTTCTATCGCAGAAGCGCAAGCAGAGCCGCGCGCGAGCAGCGTGTCGGATCTCCCCGATCTCGTTGCTGCCCTCAACGCTGATCGTCAAGGTCGCTTCGAAGCTCAGCGCTCAGAGCTGCCTGCTCCGCGCCTGGGCGAAAACCCGAAGCAGCGCCGCAAGAGTCACGGAGGCGCTCTGAGCAACACGTTGTACCCTGGCAGCGCACAGCAGACTCCTCAGCTCTCCAATGCGCAGTGGAATCCGCCGCCCGTCCATCGCTCCTTCCTCTTGCAATACAGCTCGGAGAGCATGGCGCAGCAGCTGTGCCTCATCGAAGCCGAGCTGCTCAAAGCTGTCACATGGGAAGAGCTCGTTTCGGATCGGTGGAAGCAGACGGTTGGCGTTGTCAACGATTGGGAGACTTTCTACCAAGGCCGAGTGCGAGCGAAAGCTGAAGCTATCTCGTATCGCAAAGCGCATACCGATAGCGCTGTATCTGCAATCGTTGCTCGCTTCAACTTGACTTGCAATTGGGTCGCCAGCGAGATCGTGTTGACGCAAAACGTCGACGAGCGTGCTGCCGTCGTAGCTAAGTTCATTCGCGTTGCCTTTGTGAGTGTGGTCTCTGTAGTGCGCTTAGGGATATTATGGTGGAGACTGACCATGCCTTTCTCGAATGCTCCCGCAGAAATGCTGGCAGCACTCCAACTTTGCTTCCCTTGCCCAGATCATCTTTGGTCTACAGTCTCCGTGGGTTGAAAGACTGCGGAGAACGTGGAGCAGGGTCGGCATGTGGGAGATGAGGGTCTTGCGGGATCTGAAGAGCTTTGTCAGCCCAGTGCGCAACTTTAGACTTATGCGAAACGCCATGCGCGATATGGTCTCGGATGCATACGTGGACGACATGGCCAGCGTCGGCACTGCTCGACCTCCTTCTGTTCGTCTCAATGGCGCTACTGCGGGCGGAGCGACGGCAAAGGGAACGGTCAGTGAAGGCTGCATACCTTTCTTCGGTGAGTCGGACGCGTGTCTAGCTGCTGTAATAAACTGCTGTTGCTGATAGAAATGCCGGATGAATCTCAATTCAGGCCTCTTCATCTCCGACTTGGCCATCAACGACGCGCTTCCATCGCTCCTCGACCCATCATCTCCTTCCACGCAACCGGTCGATCTCAGCAAGAGCGCGCACGCTGGCTTGAAGCCAGAACTGATCCCGGCAGAGCCTCGCGCCTTCGATCATTTGCCTCCCTTGCCGCCTTCCATCAGGCTTGAACCACTGATAAACGTGTACAAAGCTCGCAATACCGCGGCCATCGTCAAGACGGTCATGGCCTTTCAGCAACGCGCTCGTCTGTATCCCTACGAAGCCAGCGCGGCCGTGTACGTCAAGGCGCTCAAGATTCGTTCGTTGGACTCGAATCAGATGACTCAGTGAGCACGAAGCAGTATTCGCTCCCGCGACATTTCGACTGGGCAAAATTTCTAACCTTGCCTCCCCTTTCGCTTCTGCTTCCTCCTCCTTCGAAAGAGTGTCGTACATCGCCGAGTCCTGAGCCTTGTC